TTCGATGACGATTTGTATTATGAGTTATGTGTTTTGGTGACCGATGTTTGTTCGGAGTCCCGGTTGAGATCACGGACATGACGAGCAGTCTCAAAATGATCAAGAGGTAAAGATTCACATATTGTAAGGTTATATATGGACACCGGAATGGTTCTGAAGAGGTTCGGGGATTTTTGGAGTACCGGGAGGTTACCGGACCCCCCCCCCACCGGGAAAGTTAATGGGCCTCATAGGCCATAGTGGAGAGAGGGAGGCAGGCCACAAGAGGTGGCGTGCGCCCCCTTACCCAATCCGAATTGGACAAGGGGTGGGGGCGCGGCCCCCCTTTCCTTCTCCCTCTCCTCCTCTTTCCCCTCTCCCCTCTCCGTTGGAAGGAGGGGGGCCGAATCCTACTAGGAGTGGAGTCCTAGTAGGACTCCCCCCCATGGCGCTACCCCCTAGGGTCGGCCACCTCTTCCTCCCCTCCTTTATATACGGGGGTGGGGGCACCCCAAAGGCACATCAATTGTTCTCTTAGCCATGTGCGGTGCCCCCCTCCACAGTTTACTCCTTCGGTCATAGCGTCGTAGTGCTTAGGCGAAGTCCTGCATGGATCACATCACCATCACCATCACCACGCCGTCGTGCTGATGGAACTCTCCCTCGACCCTCTGCTGGATCAAGAGTTCAAGGGACGTCATCAAGCTGAACGTGTGCTGAACTCGAAGGTGCCGTACATTCGGTACTAAGATCGGTTGGATCGTGAAGACGTTCGACTGCATCAACCACATTAAACTAACGCTTCCGCTTTTGGTCTACGAGGGTACGTAGACACACTCTTCCCCTCTTGTTGCTATGCATATCCTAGATACATCTTGTGTGATCGTAGGATTTTTTTTTTGAAATTGCACCCTACGTTGCCCAACAGTTTGTTGGGTTGGCATAGATCAAGATTAGGATTTGTCACTCCGAGTATCAGAGAGGTATCTCTGGGCCCTCTCGGTAATGCACATCACTATAAGTCTTGCAAGCAATGTGACTAATGAGTTAGTTATGAGATGATGCATTATGGAACGAGTAAAGAGACTTGCCAGTAATGAGATTGAACTAGGTATGATGATACCGACGATCGAATCTCGGGCAAGTAACATACCGATGACAAAGGGAATAACATATGTTATTATTGTGGTTTAACCGATAAAGATCTTCGTAGAATACGTAGGAACCAATATGAGCATCCAGGTTCCGCTGTTGGTTATTGACCGGAGATGTGTCTCGGTCATGTCTACATAGTTCTCGAACCTGTAGGGTCCGCACGCTTAACGTTCGATGACGGTTTGTATTATGAGTTATGTGTTTTGGTGACCGAAGTTTGTTCGGAGTCCCGGATGAGATCATGAACATGACGAGGAGTCTCGAAATGGCCGAGAGGTAAAGATTGATATATTGGATGATGATATTCGGACACCGGAATGGTTCGGGTATATTTCGGAGTACCGAGGGGTTACGGAACCCCCCGGGAAGTATTGGGCCTACATGGGCCTTAGGGGAGAGAGAGGGGAGCCCGCAAGGGGTGGCGTGCGCCCCCCTCCAAGGGAGTCCTAATTGGACAAGGAGGAGGGGGCGGCCCTCGTTCCCTCTCCTTCCTTTTCCCCCTCCGATGAGAAAGGAAAAGGGGGGCGAATCCTACTAGGAGTGGAGTCCTAGTAGGACTCCCCCCATGGTGCGCCCCCTTGGTGGCCGGCCTCCTCCTTCCCTCCTTTATATACAGGTGCAGGGGCACCCCAAAGCACAACAGTTGTTCTCTTAGCCGTGTGCGGTGCACCCCTCCACAGTTTACTCCTCCGCTCATATCGTCGTAGTGCTTAGGCGAAGCCCTGCGCGGATCACATCACCATCACCGTCATCACACCGTCGTGCTGACAAAACTCTCCCTCGATCCTCTGCTAGATCAAGAGTTCGAGGGACGTCATCGAGCTGAACGTGTGCTGAATTCGGAGGTGACGTACGTTCGGTACTAGATTGGTTGGATCATGAAGACGTTCGACTACATCAACCACGTTAACCTAACGCTTCCGCTTTCGGTCTAAGAGGGTACGTGGGCACACTCTCTCCCACTCGTTGCTATGCATCTCCTAGATAGATCTTGCGTGATCGTAGGAAATTTTTTTAAAATTGCATGCTACGTTCCCCAACAGTTATGTAGCAACATCTCTCCACTGGTATGTGATAAATAATTACTTTTGATCAAATCATGATGTTCGATTCGATAATTCATAGATGTGTATTAATCTCATGTTCATAATTCTTTTCATTAGTCAATCCAGATGAAAAAACAATAGAGTTATGTTAGAGGTGTCCATTAGGTGGAGTGGAGTGAATCCCTATTTGTAAAGTACACTCAGTGTCAAAGATAGAAAAAGCTTAGATGGATCTTGCTCTCTAAGGATAAATGATTGCTTGACTTGTTATATTGTACCACGAGAGATGAGAGGAAGGGCCAATTCTTTTGGGCGGCTTAAAAAAATAAGCTGCCTCTCCCCCAACTTAAAAAATAAGCCGTCCCCTAAATTTTCTGAGACTTTTAAATTAGTTTTCTCATAACTAGTTTAGAAACTCCAATGAATAAGAGAGGTGACCTATGGGAAAAACTGGGGAGAAGGCGACTTATTTTTTAAGCCGCCAAAAGAACTGGCCCGAATTGCTTTCAAACACATGGCATCTTGCTTATGCAATGCTCTATTTTAGTATTTAATATTTGAAGTGAGTTCACGAGTGTTTCAGGTGCACTGGGTGGAGTATTAGCTATTAAATATGGTATGTGTTGGCCTGGTAGAATTATGGATGTACAATGGATACATAACATGATCTAAATCTATGATGATATTTGTCATAAATGTTTGGTTGATCATTACACATACATATGCTTGTACATGTGTCGTCGCTATTATGAGAGACACTATTAGTGAACATATGAACCCCGTTCCAACTCTCTACATTAAGAAAACTCCCCAAAAGTAATTTACATGCATTTTTGTTTTCAGTATTTAGTATTCCAAAAATATGAAACATTTTGAGCTACATGATGTTTAAAAAACTTGTTGCAACTATCAAGACTAGTAAGATTGACAACCTCACTACAATTATTTGGGGCACAAGCAATTTCGTAATATGTATTGCATGTTACTTGATAGAGTCTATGGGTGTTGCCTTTAGGGAATCATACCTTGGTCTCTCGGTTGAAGGAAAAGATTACCACTTGCTGCAAACCTCTGTCTTTATTGTCCCAACAACTATTGCCTAGCGCTATCACGAGAGTAGCAAGCATCAAGCCCTTTTTTTATGTTGTTGTCGAGGAGGTGACATTAAGTCTTCTAGGTTGTGCATTACAATTTTTATCTTCCTTTTATGTAGTTTGTTAGTTGCATTTTATTCACCTTAGTTTAATTTATTAAAAACCCTAAAACAACAAAACAATATTCCAATTGGTAGTTACTTTCTTTTATCTAGTTACTAATAGTTATAAATGAAAAATGTCATAAAAACGATATGACAAGGTAGTCGGGCGTGCGTCCATGCATCAATATCGTGCAAGAAAGTCCAAGCCACAACGAACCCAAAACATTTTCCTCATCTCCTTCCACGAGAGAGTCAAGCTAGGGTTTCTCTGCCTCTCACCGGCCTTGTCGTCGATCTTCCTCGTCTCATGTGGCCTTAGGGTCATGGAGGCGTGGTAGATCTGGCCCTGCCGGTGGGAGGGCTCGTGCTCCGTTTTAGGTGTTTTTAGATTGTTTAGGGTATGTGTCCTGTTCAGGGAGACGAGGCGACGACAGCTCCCTGAAGATGGAATAAGGTTCTCCCCACCTAGCCCCCGCTCTGGCGGTGTGTCTAGCGTCGTCGGAGGGCGTGTGGAGGTGTGTCTTTGACGGATCTCGCGGGATTCGGTTGGCGTCAGTCTTTGATGGATCTGCTTGAATCCGGTCTTTGTTTATCTATATTCATGTGTCTTCAGGCTGGATCATTTCGATTTACACTTCACTTCATCAGCGACAGACTGTTTTGGTGTGGTGGTCCTTGGGACCCTTAGCACGACGTCTTATAAACTGTCTACTACGACAAGGTTTGCACGACTTCAGTGAGGGAGGGGCAATGACGGCGGCGCCTTCGGCTCGCTCCAGTACTTGTAGTTGTCGCTAGGTGGTCTACGGACATAGATGTGATTTCTATTCTTCTTGTGTTCTTTGTATTGCCATGATGTTTGATGAATAGATTGGAAATTATTCTCGCAAAAAAAAAAGAACATGGAATCTCACCCTACATCATCATGGCAGCAAAGATTCCACAACCCTGCTCTCGCTAACGTGCGTCACTCAACAAAATTCCAATTGATCCATCTTAGTACCTTCAAAGCTTTCAGAGATGCTCTACACATATCGATGACTAGAGTCACAAAACAGTATGCTTTAGCCATGCAACTGCTGCAAAACAGTAAACGGAAGAGATGAAAATCCTGAAATATTGTCCATCCTTTCTGGGTTGTGGCACAGGAACCGCCATCGGTGTATGTGTATCTGAATCCATATCTTATACAGTACTCCCACAGAACTTGGTCATATACCGCAGCAAAAAGAAAAAAGAAAAACATACGGTCAAACTCTCTCAGGCTGCATTTGGAAGAGCACTTTGGCTGTGGTCTAGAATTTACGGAGATATGTTTCTTATACATGCCACAATTCAATACTTTCAAAATGTCATTATGGAAACACAATAAAACTGTGGGGTTAATTAATTATGGTACTCTAAAACTAGGCTGTTCGTGCGATCAGCGATTTTGGTGAACACTACCAGCGATGCTCCTCCAATGAAAATACATGTGCACGCATCTTGAACTGGGTCCAACTCTCACGGTAGGATTATCATATGCATCTCCACCTCATAGTCCCTGTGGCACTGTCATATGTGCATCGCTCCACTACTTGATTTTCTAGCTTTAAGATGATGCAGTGTCAAATTCCCAGTCCTCATGTGGAGTCTTTATTTGGAGCTGGAGCCGTTGGTGGGCGAGCCAAATCTAAGTTTTGCATCTCACTTGCGAGCATTGCCCTTCTTTCTTTCAAGAAGTTGAGCCGGTTTGTCAGCTTAGCTAATGCAGTTGGCGGTCCACCCCCAGGTTCCTGAAAGAAATAACATGCATATATAGTTGCATAAATTCAGTAAAATGAAAAAGAGAGGCAGTAGTAGCACCCACAAACTTATATCAAACAAGGGCTTAAGAAACGAGAGTTTATGGAGGCAAAGAAACAGCATATATACGTCCCAAGGCATACAGATTACCTCTGTTCTATTACTTGAAAAGGTATTCGGTCCTTGAAGCCTGTGTAGGCTATTTGAGTTTTGCCTCAACAATCTTTGAGCACCTGGGCAAAACAAATCATTTTGAACTACTAAGATTGTTGCTATTAACTTTTGCTTCCTTGGGCACAGTTACTCTAATGATATCAAGTATAATTACTGATATTACCAACTGGACCTGTATTGTATTGATAGTTAGTACTCAGTTGCAGCTTCTGGTGGGCTGGCTTACCTGTTGAAGAAGACGAATTCTGTGCGGCTTGCCTTCTCAATTGTTCAACAATATCCGCCTGAAATGAATCAATTCTTTTATTGAATAATGGAACTAAAATGGAAGAACTTAAAAGCACAACCAGGTTGTATTTCCATCTAGTCATCCTTAACTTCAATGAGCCTGGGCCCTTTGCCAGTTAATGTACTATTTGTAAAGTATTGAAATATGCAAGATAACAAGGGCATTCTTTTGGCATAATTCTGTTAGAGTACATAATGGGCCTAATGGACCCGTTAGTCTTAGGGTTAATTAGAGATAAGAGTCGCTTTCTTAGGGGTCAAGTAAGCCTTGCTTGGGAGTCAAGTAAACCTCTCTATATAAAGAGAGGAGATGTATCAATCTAATCAAGCAAGAATTAAGAAGGAAATCCTTCCATCTTGCCCGGCCGTGGGCAAAAGGCCCCCGGCCGGCCTTCTTGCGCCCTCCTTCTAGCAGCGCCATAACAATTTGGTATCAGCTAGCTTCGGTTCGATCATGTCTTCACCGCCGCCCAACCCGTCTCTTCCGCTGCCGGTCACGACCGTCGCCCCGCTCCTGCCCGCGCCGGGATCCTCCGTCGCGCCCGCCCCCGTCGTCCTCACCCCGGAGGTGTCCGGGGCGCTGCGGGACCTAACGCAGGCGGTCCAGGAGATCCACCTGTTCTTGGCCGGGTCCTATGGGCCGCACCCGGCTGCGCCGCCCATCACCGCCACCGCGCCGCCGTGGCTGCCATGGCAGCCGCCGCACCAAGCGGCCCCCGCCGCGCTCGCCAGGCTGCTGCAGCAGCCGCTGCAGCTGCCATCCATCGCCCCGTCCTGGCTGTCGTGGCAGCCGCCGCACCAGGCGGCCTTCGCCGCTCTCGCCGGGCCACTGCAGCTGCCATCCATCGCCACCACCGCTCAGCCCTGGCTGCACTGGCAGCCGCCGCTCCTGCCGGCCTCCGCCGCGCCCGGCGCTCCGCCGCAGCAGCCGCTGCTGCTGCCCGGTGCGCCACCGCCGCAGCCGCTGCCGCAGCCACCGCCGGTTAGCTCCGGCCCCGCATCGACCGCGCCGGTGGGAGTCCCGCTCCACCAAGTCCAGTCCCCGCCGTCGCCGTCACCGCTTCCGTCTTGGATCGCTACCCGCCACGTGTCGGCGGCGGTGAGGCTGCAGGCTACTGCGCGCGGCCTCCTAGCGCGTCGGCGTGTGCGGGAGATGCGTGGTCTGCAGCTGCCGCTCCTCCAAGTTGCCCTTCGCTGCGCAAAGGACCTCGATCTCATCCGCTCCGCCGGGGATCTTGGGCATGCGGTTTCCCCCACGGGCAGCGGGCATGCTGTTTTCCCCACGGGCAGCGACCTCCAAGTCTGCGACATTGGCGGTTGGGGGGGCGCACCCCTCCTCGTCATTCTCCATCGCAAGCCCCCCACTCTTCCCTGTGCGGTGCAGACCAACAGCCGTCCGACAGGAAGAAGGCATGGTGTCACCGACAACAACGCACCACGTAGCACCACTGCATTCCGTCACCGGGCGCCGCAAGGGCGCCTCTGCTGGTCACTCTTGCGACCACTTCCAGGTGGCCATACACATGCACTCCTTTTGTCCAGATGGTGTCCATGGGATCCAGGTGGCTGTACACGTGCACGTCCGACGTGCGGATGGTATCCACTTTTTGTTAAGAGGTCCAAAATAAATCGTCCCAGTCCATTTCAGGTTGAGAATAATAAAACAAGCCGAGATGTAAAAGGCTTGTTTTTAGGTGTTAGGTTTGAGTTGCGTCGAGTCATGGTTATAAGTTGGTTAGGCTGCAGCTTGAGGACAAGCTGCATGTCCAGGTGGGGTGTAGTGTTAGAGTACATAATGGGCCTAATGGACCCGTTAGTCTTAGGGTTAATTAGAGATAAGAGTCGCTTTCTTTGAGGTCAAGTAAGCCTTGCTTGGGAGTCAAGTAAACCTCTCTATATAAAGAGAGGAGATGTATCAATCTAATCAAGCAAGAATTAAGAAGGAAATCCTTCCATCTTGCCCGGCCGTGGGCAAAAGGCCCCCGGCCGGCCTTCTTGCGCCCTCCTTCTAGCAGCGCCATAACAAATTCTTACTGACATTTTAGGTTCTTATTGTATATCAGGAAAATTCCAACTCACATGACTAGCTTGCTTATACAGTTTGAACAGCATATATTATGTTTACCATTCCAGTATAGTATCAGGAATAACATTAGACCATTCAGAGCAAGGTAACAGCAGAGTAGCAGTCCCGGTCCCAGACAGGACATTTCTAGCAAAGCGGAAGGAAAAGCATTAGACTTCTGTACTCGTATGGTCTTACCATGCCTGCATTGGGTAACATTCGAGATAAAGAATTGGCCCCAATAGCCGATGATGCTTCGGTTGATGAGCTGATTTCATTTTGTTTCTCTCTGGAGAAAAGTAGCCACTTCAGTACAAGTCTATTTCAAGTATATTCCTTTCCATGATTAAGAACTCTAAATAGACAGAACAAAATACTAAGAAAGGATCTATCAAGCCTTAGTACTCCAACTAAAAAAACAAAGCCTTACTCGGCAAGCTTGTCTTGGAGCCGTTTGTTGCATGATTCACATAGTGAGATGGAGCTTAGCTGGGCCTGGCTGCTGAGTTGTCCGCGTAGATCACAAGCCTTTTGCTTCAAATTCAAAACATCAGCTTCAGCAGCAGCAACTTCCTCAAGATTAGCCTTAGTCTGTTTTTAACAGAAGAAAAAAATTCAAAACGGTGAAAAGAATTTAAGATTTAACGAAATATAAACACCGAGTACCTTGCTGTCTATTGACGACGGGAGGGACACCTGCCCTCTTCGCATATTCATCAGCCCAGACTCCAATGAGGCCCTCAAACTTCTCTCCTTATGCAGCTGATCTCGCAAAGTTTCCACCTGTTGAATGCACAAGCTATTCATGTTGAATAGAAAATGCAAAACTTACTCTAAAAACGTACCAAAACAACTCCATGAGCTCAAGAGTACCATATAGTCGTGAGTTATAATTTGCTGTATCAAACAATCGCCTACCTTGAGGGCTCATAGACTGGTGGTCACCATTAACTGAAAGTCCCAGTAAGGTACCCATTGTATAATAAGTTGTATCATCCAATTTGTGATGAATAAATGAGAACGACAGTGGCATTTAAAGGTCTTAGTAGAATTATCCAGTTTGGGCCGCCATGGCTAGTGGAGTTCAGGTCATAATATATCATTGTTACAAGAAAGATAATTGTTTAGCATTACTTGACATTATTTCAATAAAGGACAGACCCAGTGCATAGAAGCTCCCACACAAGGTGGGGTCTGGGGAGGGATTATAGGAACCTAGTCTTACCCCTGCAAAGTGCAATGCAGAGAGGCTGGTTCGAACCCAGGACCTCTTGGCACAAGTGGGGAGGACTTCACCACTGCGCCAGGCCTGCCCTCTACTTGACATTATTTCAATGGAGGGGAAAAAAGCTAAAATCATGTGTATTGTCACATCAACTGATGCCTCATAGTGGCTAATGGTTCAAATTGTAGCCTAAATCAAGTATGAAAATTACATGGCCACATGGGGCTGTCCGGGTAAGTGCTCTTAGCTTGTAGAGAGTTACTAAAACATCTTAAGATAGAACCAGTCAAACATAATACACAAAACAAAATGCAGCAGAAACTCGTATGTTTCGACAAAATCTCAAGGAGTTTTTTTCTGATACCTAATAAAGTTTGACTGTCAAGTAGAGCCAGAACTGGTAGCTTGGTTGCCTTTGCTATGATATAGGATAGTGTCTTAAAGCTAAAGAACATTTCTGAGATAGAGAAGTATAATTAGCAAGGCACGCAAATCATGTTTTCTGTAACAGCTAATGAAGCATTTAAAAGGGGAAAAGGTGAAGGAACATGAGTTTGTAGTGCTGCATGTCAGATGCTTCAGCAGCAAGAATTAATGGCCCATCTGAAGAAATGACACAATCAAACCCTGAGTAAAGTGCAGAAAATCCATTTGTTGACTCCAAAATGTGAGTACCATCCCCAAACTTAATGTGGCTTTCGTGATGTGGTCACATTTCTTGGCTTAAGATATTTGGATAGTACTTGTGCTTATAATTGCTAGCGTAATATTCCTGTTGCACATAGTTTCTGATGCTTTTCCACATCTATTGCAAGTTTCCTTTCGTTGATGGTATCATAATCCCTTTATGAGAGAAGCAACCTAGGGGTTCTCTTTCTGGAAAGAAAATAAAAACCTTGAGTTTGAGCTCTTACTTCTTTTTCAAGTGCTAAACGGCGTTCATGTAATGTTCCTTTCCGCTTTTCTAGACTTGTCTGGAGGTTTTTATTTTCTTTGACCTGAAAAATACAAACATCATTTCAGATGAAAGAATTTGATGTTACATAACTTTGTGTGGTCCTAGGGGAAAAGGATGCACCTCCTTTGAAACTTTAGATTGGAGATCGGCCTTGTTGTTCTCAAGCTTCTCAATAAGAGCCCTAATACAGAAGCTCAATTAGAATATCAATAGCTCAAAAATATCGACAGTGTAAATTATAAATATTATGGGAAAATAATACTCCAGAAAGTATGTGCATGCACGGGTGAGTGCATGTATTCCAGAAAGTACTTGTTCATCTCGGAAGAATCTAAAAAGGAATCATAGCAACATGTATAACTTGTGTGCCTACAAAAATGTGTGTTATGCAAAGAAGATGAAAGATGCAATTTTTCTTTTGGACTTTTGCGGCTACAACCTTTTGTTTTTGTTGTACTGTGCACGTTGATCATATTTTTGCACAATATTTACAGGTTTACATCTTGTAACATGTTGGCCCATCTACAATTTGGGGATCTTTTCTAGTGTGCAAGTATGCAATTCAAAACCATGTGCACTCTCTGACTCACCCATACAAACAAAAAATTCCACAACATTATGCAAACCTCAATCTCTATGGCAATTTTTAGAAGGTACAACTATTGCAGATGCAAATGATAAATGCTCCACCTATTATGCAATGACGTTCCAGGACTGACCATGGAAAATGTGCAAATACCTTTTGCAGTTTACAAATCGTCATATTTGTGTGTTAGCTTTTCAAGTGCACATATTACAGCATGTGTATATGCCTTTTGCAGTTCACAAATGCTCATATTTGCGCTTTCAAGTTCTCGCATTACAGCACGTTTGTTTGTCCTTGACTGTTTCACATATTTTTTTAAAGCAGGTACATGTTTTCAAAAAGAGTTGCTCAAAATCTGCACTTGACATGCTATATTTTGTTTACTTGATGACATGCACTAGTGCATTTTGAAAAGAAATGTGGAAAATCCAAGGATATACAACATGTGATATAATGTGTGCATTTTAAATATTCATGCACAAATATAACCATTTAAGAGCTACGTAAAGATACAGGACCTGGAGGATGAATATAACAATTATGAGCCTCTTTGATTTGAAGGGAAACAAAGAATTAGAACTCATATGGATTTCGTCGTTGTAGCATCGTTTATTCGTAGGAATGAGGCAAAGGAAATCATAGGGAAATTTACTTTTGACGCCATTCCAAAGGAAAAACATAGGAAATTTAGCATCCAGTATGACCTCATGTTTTATTCCTACGCGTAGGATCAAGGTAAAGCACAGTGATGGGATCAATCAAGTTAGTGTTGGAACATCATTAGTAGGACTCCTGTATTTTTACAATTCAAACAAGTCATGTAAAACTTTTCCAGTGTTTTACAATCCTCTGTTCTACACATGCATTCCTATTGCGTTCCTGTATTTCTTTCCTATTCCCTTGTTATAATCCTATGAATAAAGAGTCCCATATGTATAGATGTTTTTACAGTTAATATATGGTCGTGTTTTGCATGAACGTTTGAAAACTTTTTTTACAGCTGCATTTTGGAATTATTTTATGTCTCCAATAAATGCACATTCAAATGAGCATTACAGGAGCATATAGCCGTCTACTTACTCATCATCACTGCAGCCCTCAACGTCCAGGTCCTTTCTTGCCTGTAAATACATTACTCGTCAAACTTTATGATTATCGTGGTAGCATTGAAATGCAGAACTATGCAGATAACAACTGAACTTACTGAAGTACGGCCCCATAATGTCTTTTTGTCCCTATTAGCTGAGCTGCTTGACTTCATAAATTTTGCTTTCGAAGATGATGAATGGGATTTTGCTATATGATCTGTGGATGCATGTGATCCTTTGTCCTCCCTTGACAAACCACGTTCTGTTTTTCCCACTTTCATCTGAGGTTGAACAACCTATCATTGTCAGTACATGCAGTGCCAGAGATATTGTTTTAAATAAATTGAGCAAGATGAATTGTAAGGGAGACAAAGAAGTTTACAAGTGCATTAAATCAGAGCATAAGGCCATAGTTTTGGCCAATCTGTGTGTTTAAAGCACATGAGTTAGTTATTTGAGGCTTCATGCAAGGGGGCCCTAAAGTGTAGTCTTTATTTTCCTTGAACACACCCAAATGCGTGTCATTTTGTATTAGAAGTAGTCTTCTTCAATATCATATCCCAGACCATTAAGCTACTGAGAGTGTGACCAAGGTTTTTTCATACAAGAATGAAATACAAGCTTCAAGAATATATTTGAAATATATAGCAATAAGCAGTCCCTGTTTTCTTCGAGAAAACACAAAAGCCTTGCATTTTAATGCATTGATAGAAAGAAGAGTTTTTACAAGCCCTCGGAAGGGCACTTTAAGTTCTAAGCTTTAAGCTATGTAAGAAATTCACACTAAGTTTTAAGCTATGTTGGAAACGCTGAATCAACTGTTGACTTCTTATCAGCATGCACCTGATGAAACTGTGGGCAAGTCAAATATGAAAGCATAATCTATTCATCTTTATGACTACTTGGTTCAACCAGCAAAATATTAGCCTTTAAACAGAATACTCATTTACCAGATTTAGAAAGAAACTTCAGTGACAAGTTGCACATTGAGAAGACACTATCGGATGAGCGAACATGTTCAATGTATGATTTCACCATAAAATTTGACTGGCAAAAGTGAAATTAATTTTGATAAGGAGATCAACTATCACATTTTTAAGGGAAGATCATCCATAGTTTCTTTCATTGAATATAAGCTGACTTATCTTCTCTCTCTCTTTTTTTTTGCAAGGAAACATGGTTTTTGCAGGAAATTCTGACACCAGCACTTGGAATGCTCCATCTATAATGTTTGAAATTTGTACTATTGCTGTCAGTTAGCATACCTTGTCACGTTTGGCATTGATTCTACTATTGCCATCACATTCACTGCCGCCAGAAGAGTGTTCGGTATTATCATCCAAGTCTTCTTCAATGTCATCTTCACCAGAATCATAAGAACCATCCTCATCATGGTTGTCATTATCTGTAGAATATTCCTTGTCAACATCACCGTCGTCAGACTCAGTATAAGCGTCCGAAGAACCTTCTTCTATGTCCTATATAGGTTACTGTTGAATTAGTATTCATGACATAACTTCAAGGAGAACCTAATATAAAAAGAAAAGAAATAAATAAGAACATGACAAGGGAAGAAAGAGCATACATCAAATATCTGATCATATTCCTCAAGCATAATGATAACAATAGCTTGAGCATGGTTGGCTGCAGCTGCAGCTTGAAGCAGCTGGAATGAACCATCCCCAGCCATACTGAAGTCTTTATCAATTTCACATTCACCAAGAAGAAGAGGACGAAGAAGGAGTGGTGCCATACAAGCCGCCAAAGCGGAATTAGACATCCTGTTCACAGCTTTGTGTGATCCAACGATCATCATCATCTTAAGGATCCTAAAAGAAAACCGATGAGTCTGGTATTCATTGGTGGAATTTGATGTTGCTATTGCTGTGCAGGCTAAATTTAACTCATCATCAAACCATTAGATAATGTAAACGGATGAGGACATATTCTTACAGAATGACAATCCAAGACATAACACTTTTGGTGATAAAATTTGAAACAAAAGCATCCTAGGTTACCTCTGCAGTAATTGCCGATTCGGTTCCGGGAAAACTTCATATACAACTTTATTTAAAGCATCAAGTCTTTTTGTCTTGTCAGTTCCTGCACCATCACTTGTCTTTATCAGTTTATGGTTCCAAACAAATAAAAATGTTCCGAGGGCATACTGGTGCTGATTTTTTGGTACATACTTCATGAAAAATAGTTATTGGGATTATACATCAGTTTTTTTAGGCTGAGGAATGCATTATTGTTCTTCAATTATAAATAAAGTTCTGAGCCAGTCTTACGGTAAGCTGTAACCAGCGCGGTGCAACATGCTGCAGGAACTGGCGAAGCTGGCATCTCTCGAAGAATAGTCTGTAGTTTGGAGCAAAACAAATGTTACAAAAAATATAGAAACATAGTATATTCCTTGTGACATCAGAGTTAGCGTTGCCAAATAAACACCTTAATACAGTCACCAATAACATGCCCATCCTCATCTGGGGAGAACTCTTTCTTTCCTACAAAAAACAGTTAAAGTGAACTAGCAGACATAAAATTCTCAGAGGTTATGCAAAATAGTTGTATCTTCAAAAGAAAATCTTTGTGAAAGTGCAGGGCAAAGAAAAAAAAGTCTTCTAAAGATTCAATTAAACAATGGTAAAACTCCTGCGACACTAAATTGCCAAACATCTTAAATAAGAACAAAAAAGTTAGAACAGAGGAAATCACCCTTATCATAATCACGAAATCTGCGTTTGACTTCTTCAACATCAGCAGATTGACGGAGGATTCCTTCTCCCTTGCAACCTACAAACACAGTGTTTTTCTGCTCGTTACTGAACGGCAAGATTTTTAAATGTCTGTTTCCGCATGATTGCTTTCAATGCACACCAGGTAAATATGAGCATAAAACTAAACCTAACGAAGGGTCGGTCTGGATAGTGTACTGATATTACAGGGGAAAACACTTACCATAATCTTCAATGAACCTCAAGGCCTTCTCCAGGAAAGCTGGACTACCATCAGCCTCTATAAGTGCAAACTGTGCAGGTCTCCCAATAACAGATGATTCATCCTCCGCTGCAAACGAAACAACAGAATTTGTTTATTCAGTGCAACATAAGCACACACCGATGTGGGAAAGAATAATAAATTAGACATTATACATTTGACTCAACAAATAAATGGCAATAAATACTATGGCATCTAACACTGGCATACAAAATAAACCTACTTAGATCTGCATAATGCAGTTTTTTCTGTAACAGCAGAATCCAGCTGAATTAAATATTAATGAATAATAGAAGGAATAAGGATCTTCATGTAAGTAGTGATTGCCCATGCCCTGATCAAGTGCATGGAGGAACGAAGCAAGAAAATATATCCCTACGGGGTCATCATCTCTAGAGACATGACATCCAAACTGGAATTTATCCTACAAACTTCATTTTTTGAGTGCCCCGGAATTTCTCAACCATTAGCACGTTTAGGAAGTGATTAAGATTTTTTTTTCAAGTAGTGAACGATGAAGTTGAACACCAAACTGGAAGTCTGGAACATACTTTGCCAGATATATGAAATGAAACAAAAACAGGTGTGATCAAACAATAAGAATGAAGTCTGAAAAAATTGACATCAAGAAATTTCATAAATACAGCCACAATGTGACTTGTCTATTTTTATATAAATACCATTAGCCCAAAAATAAAACAAAAGCTTAGATGTTAGCCCAGCTTGTGCAGGTTGGGTGAAAGTTAACATAGCTTACACTGTTCAGTTGAAGCTTCAGAAGATTCTGTTCCATCAGCGTTAAATATTGGATTTTGCCCCACTGTACTCGCTACACTTGGTGCCTGCGCTAAAGCACTCTCTAATGCATTTCTCCACTCGTTGAGTTCTTCCGTAGTTTCTGCCTGCTTGGAGACAAATCACACCATTAAATTCCTAAACAGTGCCACACAGGTATGATAGTAGTATTGAATATTAATCAAACAATTGCCCCTCCCAAACACAACCAGGGTTGCCACGTTCCACTGCTCCAGTCCCACAGCCACCCCTGTTACCCCGCTATTTACTGATCCTCAAGAACAATACTAAGAAATGCCAATCGTCTCAATGGGAACACAAAGATCAGTACGACAGGAACTCTGAAAGATATGAAACCAACCTTCAGAGTAAAAGTACGCCCTTCGCGGCCATCAGGAAATAACACTGTTAAAAGTTTCCTGTCTTCTTTGACTACAACACTGAAACATTTATCAAAATTATATGTTTATTGGATAGCATTAAAGGAAATTCCCCTTTCAGCAAAATTTCAATTATGCATACCTTCCGGAGTTATTCAAGTCGATTCCACCAAGTGTAACAACTGGTTCATTTCCTCTGGGAGGTGCATTCTGAAAATAAAGCAGAACATAGGAGCAATTGGCATGTTTAGAGGCCTAATACTAATATTTATAGTTGCCCATAAATGTCACGAAGAATCCTAAAAGAACTATGTATGCTTCAGCAGTAGTACTTGTTCTGTAATCATGTTCACCCCCTAAAAAATGGTGACAGTAACAGTCAACAATATCCTTGCCTTTACTATTTGCTTTCTGTCACTTCCGGTATCCAATTAATAGTATGAAAAGAGAATTTATATCCCGCTTCACATTCAGGTTCACTCCTTAAATTGTGCAAGTATCACTATTTGTATTAGGATTATGACCTAGACCAGAGTAGGCACTAATTCGTTGGGATATCTGAGCAATAAGATGCCATTAGCTGATATAACTTGCCTTTCACCTTTCATGTATTTTACATGGTGTCGGCTAGCATACTATCATGTGTACTTTAATTATGCCCTTACTCAACCTTAACAAGCAGATCAGATAACAAGCTATACAGAATGATATCTAGACTTCTGATTCTTTCCTCGAAGCATTTTGCTAAAGACTTCAGGTTATATATAAAGTTTTCGTCAGCTGCACTCATGTACTCCATTAAAATGAATTTGCAGCAAAAATTACTACATTATACTCCCTCCATTCCACAATGTAGTGCGCCCGCGCTTCCTGAGATTTAAGTTTGACCACAAATTTAACCAACGAGACCAACTGCGGCGGGAGCAAAAATTATACCACTGAATTCGTATTTTCAATATAAATTTAGTGGTATAATTTTTGCTCCCACCGCAGTCGGTCTTGTTGGTTAAATTTATGGTCAAACTTAGATCTCGGGAAGCGCGGGCGCAATACACTGTGGAATGGAGGGAGTAGTTTATAGTACTAATACAACATCAGCACAGAAAAAGACTCGCGCGAACTTGCATGTGCTATTAATCAATATGTACCGAAAAAGGCTTTCGCCCCGCTTTATATATAAAGCACCAAACCACAATCAATATGTAGTACCACACCCATCAGTTCTACAACAAGAAATGGCAGATTGGTAGCTTCCCTAGGGCCGCACACATTTTCTAGTAGTATCGATTAACCGATGGTACAAACCGGAAGTTGCATATAACTGGTGTTGTAAACAACGAGATGTATACTTGATGCTCTATTTTCAATCACTGTTGGAAACTTGGGATCATGATCTTGGAGCTACTGTGGAACAAGGCTGGCAACTCCAGGGGGGCAATAGCGTAGCGGACAGCTAGGAGAAGCGAGTGAGAGAATCTATTTCATTGCTTAATTAACATAACACCAATGGGTCCTCTACATATAAATATAACACAATTCCAATGTAAGGAACAAACCATATCGTATGACATAACACCAATGGGTCCTCTACATATAAATATAACACAATTGAGCAAACCATATCGTATCTCCAATTGGCTATGGCTCAGATTAAAAGAACCCATTTACTTATAGATAATATAGGGATATTGTCCTTAATTGGTTGCACTGGCTGGAGCTAGCGCCAGTTGCTGGCCTTCTTGGGCCATGCGGCACACATAGGGAATTCCCCACATAGCAATAATGGTAATAGAAATTTCATGGAAAATAAATAAGGTTCAAGCATTTGCTACAAGAATTAGATAACCCAATTGAGCAGTCAACTAGCAGATTTACAATCTAATGCCGTGCAGACCTTTAGTCTGCTTTGTTACAATAAAGTTTGTGTTAAGCTTGGAGAACAAAGCAAGTTAATCATAGGATCTTTACGAGTGAATAGCTGATGCAAAGAAACACAGCAAAGTACTGCAATGTATCTTACAGGGTCACTTCTGAAGAACACTAATGATGCCCTTGTAAGAATAAACCAGCGCTTTTTCCATGTTGTCCAACCAATCCCTGTTATGTATCATAAATAATTAAATATGAAGAATAGTATGGCTACAAATATTTAGAATTTAAATTAAAGCAAAGGTGATCAAATGTAAGAAAATGACAGTTTGGGTAGCAACAAAATTCCACATGCAAAATATGGAGTTATAAATAGAAACATTCTGATCCACTTAATTAAACTGCAACAGAATTTCCTTGACAATTTCAGTAAAAATAATCAACCATGTCTGTTGGCTTGACTTCGTTCTTCATTGGGCTTAAAGGTATCATGATTGTGAAGCAATCAGATTAGCCTACAGACCAGGCATTTTACAGAAGTACACTTTACTTTATGCCCAAACTTTTAAGCATATGACTTTATGGGGAAGCAAGCCCTATAATGCCCCCATGCCATCAGAGAAATAAACAGATAGTATGTTGTTAGATTTTTAGTATTCAGTACAAGAGCGACTAGGTTGATCCATAGCGAGTTCTAACTTAATGTGACTGATTATACTTTGCAATATATAGTTCAGCAAACTGGCTAATATTCTACCTGCTAGAATATGATACAGTAATACAAGTAACGTCTAATGGGCATCATGTTTATAAAAGCTCCATGACAAGTGATATGATTAACATTGTCATAATTGTGTGACTTCAGGCAACATGTTTTGCTGTTCTTCTGTGCTTCAATCATACTCCCTCCGTCGTTGAGACACTTATTTTGGGACGGAGGGAGTATTAATTTAGTATCCCATTGGAAGGACAAAAAATTCCTATTAATAGATATATGAACTGGAGGGCTTCTGACCGTAGTCCTTACCACAAACATCCTGTTTAGATGTAACATCTAGCAGGTAAAAGAGAGGGAGAAATATATATCTAGCCATGCTAAACCACAATTTAGCCATCCGAACATACCTTTAGATGAAAGCAGTAAATGTCCACTCTTAAGAACCTGCAAACAGATATACAAAATTGACACCATCATTCGGAGTTAATATAGCAGTTTAAAGACTCCCATTCTGATTATAAACATAGACTTATAGTAAATCTGAAGTTGCAGCTACGTGTAGCAGTTACATGGCTTATGTAAACATATATAGAGAGACATTCTACCAAAGCTTAAGGTCATTTGGAGAACAGTGTGACATAAACTTTGAGTGCAAGTTGATCCGACAAACCTGGCAGTTAGGACATGCAGTTTGTGGACTATCACCGGTTTCACCAGTCTGGGAGTTCAGGTCTCCCTCTCCACATCGGCATATCTTGAACTGACCTGTATTCTCCGAAGGCTGCGAAGATGATACCTATCAAAAGGATGAAACGAAGTGGAGTAAGTACTTAGCATAAAGCAACAAACAAGTGATAACAAGGCAGGCAGAACTTGAGATTAACTAAAACAAGCAAACTTTACATGCGCAGATTTATGTGCACATAGTATCAACTGAATCAACAACAGAGGATCTTAACAACAGAACATTTGTCTTTTGTTATTGATAAAGGTGCTATGGAAGACTATATATTCATATCGATGGTTACCATTCCTTCACAAAATTTAGAAATCTCCCTTAGTCTCTTTCTTATCTTTATCGCCTACTCTTGTACTAAAATACCACTTCGCCTTAAGTCATAAGTACTAAGTTTCATGCACCAACCAGCAGAATCAAAAGTCCAAACTGATGGAGAAGGTCGGGCAATCCACATATACTTCAACACCCCCTCTCACATGTGGTTTGAGAAGGCCTAAACATGGACAAAAGGAGGGCAGGGCAAGCAAAAAAATTTATTCAAAAGCCGAGACTTGAACCCAAGACCTCTTGTGCCTAGTACCATATTAAGTTTCATGCACAAACTAGTAGAACCAAAAGCCCGAACTGATGGAGAAGTTTGGCCAATTCCCATATACTTGAACAAATATGCAGGCTAGCCAGGCACCATATTGTCCAAGTGACATAAAGGTAATTATTTTATTTTATAAAGTAACAACACATATTTTTCTTTGAGGTAGTCAAAAGGTAGTCCCTGCATAAATTTCATTAAAAACACAAGATATGGTTTAACTTGATTTCTGGAATCCAGACAACCCATTTTGTCTATAAATGATAATATTTTATGCTTATCAGCTGTCTAGTGACTCTTAACAACAGAAGTACAGTGAGACTAAATCATAGAATCTACGCATTAGAAACACATATACAAAGAACTACAAAAACTAAAATAATTGTTCTATTGCCAGTAAAGGAGAAGCAAAGAAGCGGCACGGTGGAGCCACATCAACTCCTTGAAAGTCTACAATACCAGCACAAAAACGTTTGAAAATTTTAGTAAGTCTGCTTGTACAGCCCCACTCTGTAAATGTTTCTTGTTTTAATAGAATTTTACTGTTAGCGGCCCCCTATATATTGTCAGCCTGCTTACTTTATTCACAACCCAAATGTCATGAACCATAATTTCATTTCATTTGGCATGTCTTTCACTGGAATGCATATTGAAGATCTTTTTTTTTGTTAGTCAAGTACACCACTTGATAAACATAGCAGGCACTCACTCACCGATAAACCAAAGTGAGCTCTTTGTCTCACATTTTATTGCAAAACATTAATTATATTGGTCTAATATCTTCTGGAAGAAAATTAAAATCAACTGAAAAAGTGACTAAACAGTGGGGTCCAATGAATACTTTGCTGAAATGCTAGAGCGGATAAGTAACAGGGAGAAGATATGAAAAATAATAATGCTATACTTGAATCATATGACAATCTTACTGGCTGGTAAGGAATCCTGAACTCTGAAGCTGACATTGTCTTCTCAAAATAGCTGACTTATGAACAACTCAGGATGATCTGTCCCACCAACAAGTTGATGTTTCTTAAGCGGCTGATGCAATGTACAGTGTTACTCATAATAAATCCATGAGACTTGTTAATGATAATTACAAAATAAATAGCACGATATAGCACCATAATTTGGAAGGAATCACTAATTTGTCGAGTTTCTGGATAAAGACGTCTCTCTATCAGTACAGTTAAATGTATTCTGATTGTATTCATCCTATATACCTTTTTTTAAGATATAAACTCATCCTATATAACCTAAATAGTTCATTCCCACTATCTCTAATATCTTAACATGCACACATGCCAGCTCATCAAAGGCCCACCACAACATGTATGGGGAAAAAAATCCATTATTGGTTGATCCCATGCACACATCCCACCTCACCACACATGTCACCTCATCGAAGGTCCACTCAACATGCATGAGAAAAAAAATTCATTGTATTATGCTACTTATATTCAATATATGTTTCGACTACACAGTAATCAAATACAATATATGATATGTGTTTTAGTTTTAGTTCATATGTTCTTAATTCAGCTACTCATGTTTCACAAAATTAAATCACTCAAAATATGTTGCAATCGGTTCCCGCAGTAACGTGCGGGGTATTATCTAGTTAACTTAACTTTGTGCATGCCGATTACATTGTATCCCCGCCGCCGCCCCCTCCTTCTCCTTCCTCCTCCCTCGCTGCCGCCCGGGGGCACGACCAGGCAAAGCCCTGCCGTCGCCGGCGGCGACGGGGCCCTGTGTCTTCCTGCTCGGGTGGTGCTGGCGCGGGCCGGCGTCCCGGGCCGGAACGTGGCGCTGCAGCCGGGCTCCACAGCGGTGTGACGGGCAAATGCGGCGCCCGGGCGCCCCTGCCTCCCCGCGGCAGGTGGCCAGGTGGGTGGCGCACCTGGGGTGCCAGAGACGGCGGCGGCGTGGTCCGGCGCGGGCTGCGGTCGGCCCAGGCTGGTGGTGGCCACCTTTGCCGTGGCCACGGCGGATGGTGGTGGCGCAGTGGCAGTGGGTGGTGGCGGTGCGGGCTGAGGTTGGGGACGGCGGCCGCGGTGGCTCGGCCAAATCTGACCTCGCGGTGCCGCGGACGGCTGCCTTGGCCGAGGACCTCTCGGTTGGTCGGGGTGGCGGCGTAGTGGCGGTGGTTCGACCCCCTCCTCTTGATTCCTGGGGCGTTCGGCTCTACGGTTGGCAGCGCACCTGACAGGTGGAGCACGGCGGCTCAGCGCTTCTCGCCTTTGGCTGGCCTCGGTGACATGGGCGCTCCGGGGGATTGGCAGGGGTGCCTCCGGGTCTTGCTGTTGCCAGGGGTGGCGACGGTGACCTGGACCCGGTTCGAGAAATGGCGTGGTGGCTGCAGCGTGGCCGGGTGGCCTCCCCCTGCACTGCTCCGACCGGCGGGGTTCCGGACTTACCAAAAGGGCCTGCTTTTCCGGCCTCAGCGTCAGTGGTCCATGTTGATGGGAGTGGTGTGGTCTTCGCTGCCGGGACGTCGGCTTTGGTGGTAGCAGCGCGGGGCTAGTGGGCGGAGCTCGTGCTCAGGTGCTGCCTGATTGCCATGGTCGTGTGGACGGCGTGGCGGCTGGGGTGTGGCGATCGGTGGCGGTGGTGCGGCATTCGTACTACCAAGGGCAATTAGTGTGGACCGGGGTGAAAATATTTTCTGTCTTCGGGCACGCCGGCAGCAGCGATGTTCGTTCCCTTCTTGAAAGCGTCGCCGCAGTCCTCATTGCCCATCATGTTGCTTCAGGGGAAACACTGATCCTCGGTTTGGGCGGTGGCGGCACTCTGGTGCCGTATCCTTTCTGAAGGCACCGCTTTGGAGCTCACGGGTCGTCGTATGCAGCTTCGTCTCTTCGCGATGGCGTGTTCACGATTGAGGACCCCGGTAGCTTTTGTAGTGGTAGGGGTGGTGTTGCTGCGCTCAGCGCAGATGTATCCGCCTTGAGTGTGTGCGTGTGTTGGGGTGGCGTGAGTTTGTATCGAGCTGCTGATGATTTATGCTTAATATATAAAACGGGACAAAAGCCTTTTTTGATAATACTAGTTCAATCTATGTACAAGTCATAAAGTCATAATAATCGTCAGCTAAGCCAAGAGAAAATGTGATAGATATTCCGAAATACGGTGTGTGCCCAGGACCCTGAAGGCAGTGGTTGGCAAGAATATGGATGTACCACTAGAAACTGAAGCACGGGAACTTTTAATTTCTCTTCAAGAGTTGGAGTTTGGTTTCCGCATCCACCATAAGTATCAGCTTGAGATATCTAAGCCATTGGCTGGACCTGGGGAGTTATACAGCACAGGCAAAATCACGAAACATAAGTAAGATTTGATACAGTATGGAGACAATCATACAATGTATAGAAGTTTGATGCTGCTAAAATAAGATGAATACTGCTATTACTGCCGGCAGGTATCCTGCAAGCAGATGCAAGATTATTCAGACAAAGATGCACATGCGCCGATGGCAGGAGCTAGTACATGCCAATGAGTTATGGCCGAAAGCAGAATACATGCGGGAAAAAGGCATGCAAGGCGGCCAATTGACAGGACTGAAACCTGAAACCAAACCTCCCCCATGCACCGGGACCAGACAAACGAATGTGCATTGTCGAAACAAAAACAAGAAAGGAGGCAGAATCAGGCCGGTTTTATTGGCGAGCATGGTACGCACATCAAATGTCTGGATTCAATTAGACGAGAGAGCAATTCGGATGAAGAAATCGATTTGAACATTTGCATTTTTCACAAGTCAGACATCTGAAACCACGGGAGGGAGGGAGACAATCGTGCTAGCACGGCGCAGCCGCGAAAGCAAGCGGGGAGCGGATCTAGAGGGGCCGCGAATCGGGGCAATGCGGCTCCTCTGTCTAGCTAGAAAAATGGGGGCAACGCAACAGGGGAAAAACTGAGCATTCGCCCAGACAGAAAAATGCACCGATGAAGGAGGAGCGTCGACGGAGGCGGCAAGGCAATGCGGGGCTCACCTGCGGCCGGGACGCGATCGGGAGATCAATCTCACAGCGGCGGGCACGCCATCGATCCCACCTCCTCCTCCTCCTCCCCCCTTATCTCTCTCCCCCTTCCCCCTCCCTCTCTCCCCCTCCCGTTCTATTTTTCTCCCGTCTCCTCCCTCTCGCCCGCACTTTCTCCGGGGACTTGTTTTGGAACGGGAGCGCCCAACGAAATAGACGCGTCACTGCAGGGTGGGGCCTTATCCCGCCGGGCCCACATGCCAGGGCATCGCCCCGGTCCCATCCCTTTCCGCCGTTCCTTTCCCCGAGCGAGGCGCGGGCGCGCGGACGGGGTCAAGCGATCCCGGCCGTCCGCCCGGCGCCCGGGGACACGTGGCGCAGGATGGCGGTACACCGAGAGGGAGAGGATGCTTCTGCTCTGCGCGCCGAGGGCAGGCGGAGTGGTGGGAAGCATGTCGTTAACGGGAGGACAGGCTCTGCCGCGGGGCCCACCAGCAGCAGTATCTAGTAGTAGTACTAGAGTAGTAGGCCCTTGTGCTTGGAAATTTTGTTTTCTTGTTCCTCTTGTCCTTTGGGCATGGAGCCCACCCGACCCGGATGCCACGCCCTTTGCGCCCGTGCTCACGTGTCCTCTGCGCTTGTCATCGATCACCAATGATCAATCTACTAGGATTCTCGAGTGATTCATTTCAGAGCGAAAGCGAAAGAGCATCATGGTCAGTTGGGGAACGAATGAGCTACCCCAGCCTCCGTTCCAAAATAACTATCTCTCCAACTTTAGTAGTACAACTTTGTTTTGAGATGGAGAGAATTAGAGCAACTCCAACGGGCCGACCCAAACGAACGGCGATTTCATCTGATTTTTGTTCGTTTGGGTTGGCAGCCCGCCCGACGTCCGCCTTGTTTTACATATGGGTCGGCAGCGCGCCTAATGCGCCGACCCATATGTGCAGGCGTGGCCGGCTGGCCGATCAATTTTACATTGCAATTAACATATTGTGAAATGAAAATTTAACAAGCAAAATAGTTTAGCCGTTCAAATAAATAGTATAGTTTGACAGGCCAAATAAAAATAAAAATGTTTCACATAGTTTTACAAACGAATAAAAGAAGATACATCTATTGGTTGCCAACATGAGTCCACATATACTCAACCAAATCATTTTGTAGTTGCACGTGAGTTTCTCAATCACGCATGTCTTCATAAAACTGAGTGAACTGTTCAAATGTTGCCGCTACTCCATGCTCAGGCACAACATTCTCAACCTGAAACTGAAAGCCTTGATCGTACAGACGTTTCGGCGCTCATCTTCTACGATCATATTGTGCATGATCACACAAGCAGTCATCACCTCCCATAGTTTCTGCGTGCTCCAAGTATTAGCAGGATACCGAACGATGCCCCATCGAGATTGCAAAACATCAAAGGCACGCTCGACATCCTTTCTAGCACTCTCTTGCTTTTGGGCAAATCTTTTCCTTTTCTCTCCGGCAGGGTTGGGTATTGTCTTTACAATAGTGGTCCACTGAGGATAGATACCGTCACCCAAATAATACCCTTTGTCGTAGTTGTGGCCGTTGACAGTAAAGTTCACAGGTGGACTGTTGCCTTCGGCAAGCCTAGCAAACACCGGCGAGCGCTGAAGCACGTTGATATCGTTGTGTGATCCAGCCATGCCAAAGAAAGAGTGCCAGATCCAGAGATCTTGAGACGCCACGGCCTCTAATATGACAGTGCAAGCCCTGACATGTCCCTTGTACTGCCCTTGTCAAGCAGAAGGGCAGTTCTTCCACTCCCAGTGCATGCAGTCTATGCTGCCAAGCATCCCCGGGAAGCCCCTGCTAGCATTCATCGCCAACAAACGGGTTGTATCTTCAGTTGTCGGCTCTCTCAACTACTCGGGGCCAAACACAACAATCAAAGCCTTTCAGAACTTATACAGGGGCTCTAGGCATGTAGACCCGCTCATACGGACGTACTCGTCAATGAGATCACCGAGCACTCCGTATGCAAGCATTCAGATGGCGGCAGTGCATTTCTGATAAGAGGAGAAACCAATCTTGCCGACGGCATCCTCTTTGCACTCGAAGTAGTCATCATAGCCGACCACTCCCTCTTTAATACGGTTGAAAACATGCCTACTCATACGGAGCCGGCGGCGGAATTTGTGATGTTTGAACAACGGGTTTGTTGTATCAAAGTAGTCCTTCCAGAGAAGGAAATGTCCGCTCTCCCGATTACGATTCAACGCCGGAAGGTGGCCCGGAATGGAGCCACAGAATAACGACCGCTGGTTATTGAGGTGGTAATGGACCAACACGGCAGCCAATATCTCCTCCTCCTCGTCGGACGACGAATCGTCGGAGTCGCAAATGAAATTGTGGAAAAAGAACTCGTCGGCGGAGTCCATTTTTGCACCTTGGCAATCTGTCGAACAGTTTGCGGGCGTCAAAGAAGGAGACGGCCGACGAGGGGAGACGCAGCGCCCACAGACCAGCTAGCGCCCACAGACCAGACGGCCGACGAGTGTGATGGCGTCGGACGAGCGTGCCGGTCGTATGTGGCGGGGGTGGCGAGGCGTCTTCTTGGTCGCGGGGCGGCTGGGCGGTGGGGGAAGCGGCGGCGGGAACCAGTTTGCTCCCCGGCGGCGGCGGACGACTGGGTCATGGGCGGTGTTGCTGGGCGGATGTGATGACGGCGGCAGCTGGAAGAGTAGCCGGCAAAATGGACGACGGCGTCGGTGACGGAGGAGGCGGGGGCGAGGGTTACTTGTTGGCCGAGAGGAAGGGAGGCCAATGTGCCACAGACCAACAGGCCCGGGGACAGGAGTAGGCGAGCGCGCGCGCGTCCGTCGCGTGTCCGCGCCGACGCAAATCAGGCTAAAAATGAACCGAGAATGGGTCGCCCGCGGACGAAAAACGGACGCGCGTCCGTTTGGGTCGTTTGGGTCAACGCGTTAGGCCGCATTTTCTGTCCACGCCGATCCAAACGGACGGCCGCGGACGAAATGGATCGCCCCGTTGAAGTTGCTCTAGTGCCGTCTGATGGCCGTGGATATCGGTGCCGATACATAGTAGTACCTGGCAACGATACTCTATAGGATCTAATGCGATGGCAGAGATACTGATCGTGGAGTCCTAGATAACTCCTGCTATCTCCATAGGAGCCATGTGCGAGAGAACCCGGACGGACCCCCTTCACGGTCGCACAGTACTCCAAGACCCTTTTGATCTCGCCAAAAAAAAGTACTCACAAGACCCACGACCACGTACAGTCAGTCACCCGTGAGGAAACAGGAAATGCAAGATATCTGCCCGTACATGCGTGACAAACAGCACGGGCGGGGACGAAGGCTTGCGCCGCCAATGGCCCACCCAACACCAAACCTAGGTCCAAGGGTGTACAATCGCCTCAGCAGGATCATGCCAGAGGCAGCAACAGCAACACACATTCCGTTTAGGTATACACTTGCTACACAGCGCTCCGTTTCAAGTGCACAAGTGCTGATTTGTTGCATAAAACTCATGCTGTGGGTAACAGCGACACACAGTCCTGCTTTGTCGACGGCATCGACGAGGCAGAGAAACCGTCGCAGCTAACACATTGACAACGTGTTTCTGCTCTCAGCTGTCGCCGCTTGGTTCATCGTCCTCGTCTAGGTTGATGCCGGAGATACTCATCTTCCCCGTGTTTACTGCAGTGCAAAGCCAGAACCAATGAGCTAATAGCTTCTCTCTCATCTCTCAAAAGATAAATGAATGAGCTAATAGGACAGACATCAGGAATCCACACACACAGTTGTTTATAGTGCAGACTTGTTAGCAAATGGGCCAGCCTATTGTTGTTCAGTAACTCAGTATCCATGCTTACTAATGCCATCCACTATGGATAGATTCGTGATCAAGGCTTCTTGTTTATTCACGCAGAAATTTTAGTACTCCATGCTTACCAACTGCGTCCAGTCCGCAAAGATTTGGCATATACTTGCTAATATGTTCTTCAGCGGCTTTATCAGCCTTCAGCGTCTCGCATTCGAAAGAGACCAAGACTTTCTTATTCCCATGTTTCTTTTGAACCAGTCCAACAACGTCATCTTCCCATCTGCAAGGGATAGTGTTTGCATAAGGAGAACAGCACAAAACAACATTATAAACAGTAACTAATACTACTTCACAGCATCAGCAGCACTATCCTTCACCCACTAGTGAAAATAATCTTTTATCAAGCAACACAGCAAATACTAAACAATCCAGAATCAAATTCCAACCATATGTGTTATGTTACGTATGTACATATAGTTCATAACCCATGCAGCACGAATTTAAGAAGAGGATCCACATAATCTCTCAAGTAGCTAGTTTTATCCTTTAAACTTGGAAGCGTCCAGCAATTAGGTAGTTTATCCTTTAAACTATGATGAGTCCATATCGGTAAGATTGAGAGTTCAAGTCTAGATCTGACTTGTGGATCAAGTCATCCTAAATAATAGGACTGTAATGTACTCTCGGACGTAAGCAAGAAAATAGACCAATAGTTCATCTACTTTGCCTCCCGTCCCGGGGCGACAGCCCCTCCTGTACCTCTCCTCAAAACCCAAGTTCATAACAATACACTTGAGAGTTGAACATGAAATCACTAAGGCTACTTTGTTCAAAGAAAAGAACATTGAACACCTCATAAGTTGGCCTTCACAGAAAAAAAGGGGAGGGACTTGAATTTGTATACAGTAAATAGAGACTAAAGCATTAACTCAATAAACGACTAAAGAGTTTAGTTTGTGTCTATTCATACAGGTAACGCTTGATTTATGGCTGCTTAGTGGCATGATGAAGACGTAAACTTGTCGCCATGCCGGTCATGACTCATGATACATTTGACAATACCAAACCATCTAGATTACACCAAAATTTATTTTGGATACCCAAATTTTTGGTCGAGCAAACCTAGGCTCAAACCAAACACATCCTGAAGGCCAGAACATTTATAGATCATGGCAAAGAGATACTACAGAGGTATGCGCAGCTCCATGCCAGTGAGGCAAGGCAATTTTCACAGTATCACAAAATAAGACAATGATAAATTAAATTGTGTTTTGGCCTTAATTAATCACTTGCAAATAGAGATACCCAAAATAGCGTACAAGGACCAATAATCCAATATACCCTGTTTCATCGGATTATTCCCATTCATTTAATAAATGCACTTCTTGAAAACATAATCCATTACAACAACTTCAGATAGTACAGTGCTTTCAAAAACACAGTTATGGTACAGTGTTTTGATATAGCCTGAGAAAGGATATGACGTACATGCCATCTATATTCACATTTCATATATATCAACAGCACTTCCAGCTAAAATTGATGGGCATGAGCATCAACAGATCACGCCACACTGTTTTTGCAAACAGTAAATTCAACAACATTAAATTTTGTTCTGACGAAATCCACCCATGAGAGAAGACTTACCCATGCAAATGGTCAATGTTTTGTAATCGAGCAGCATCATGTCCCCTGCATTCCACCACAACCACCTTCTCTGTCTTCCTCTGTCACATGAGCATAGGTTAACCTCTACCACACAGACTGCAAATTATATAAGAATAAGAGATAACTGAGTTTTTAGGATATCTGTAGGTAACTTCTGATAGATCCAAGATAAGCCGAGATAGTATCATTTTAGAAAGGAAGGTAAGCTAAGATAGGAAGATAATCTGTCGGTAGAATACATGCTTGGTGGAGAAGAACATAACAGATGTCTGACCTTAAAATTAATGATGGATAGCTTTATAAGGCGGTAATCATCTCCTCGGCTACATTCCCTCTCGCATGGTATCGCTTACATGATAGAAAAGAAAAAGGACACGGCAATATAAGCTAAAGATATCTTCTCTTATCTGTAATAAAGACAAAAGAGTAAAGACAAAGATGTCCACAATTGCAAAAGACAATGGACGGCGAATAGAAGCACATAAATTCATCTTTGTACAATCAAGAACATACCATATCAACTATGCATCATTCTTCAGATAGCACAAGATCAAAAATACCGACTCCCTAATGTAACAGGCTATGGCATATTACACAGCACTGGAATACTGTTATGCTAGCAATCTAGCAGAACTCACAATTCAGTTGGAAATAAAGATAAACTTCTAGACAGATAAGCCCTAATAATATATTGCTATCACTTGTGCTGAACAAAGGGGGGTTTTGGTGGCAACACAAACGATTCAAGCCGAGATGCAGTTGGAGCCCAGCCACACAATGCCCGCGTCTAGAAATTAGGGGTCAATAGATAAACAAGTAGTACAAGGGTGAATGAAGAGAGATGTGTACGGGTGCCCTGGAGGCCGTAGCAGGCGGAGTCCGGGAGGCGGATGAAGTGGCCGGAGATGGCGCCAGAGGGCAGCAGCGCGATGGATGCGACGCCCTCCATCTTCTCGCCGGTATCTCCCTCCTCGACCTGCGGCCCGGCATCCTCCGCCTCCGCCGGCGGCGGCTGACGGTCGCCATTCGCCTGCGAGTCCGACAGAGAGCCCATCGTTCACACCGCGCCCAAGAGCCAGTACGCCGACTAGGAGCGAAAGCGGAAAGTAGTGGCTTTTATGCACATAACCCCCGCCAACCGTAATTTTCTTCGGCTCAGATCCCTGAGGCCTTGCGGGGCTAAGGGGTATCGTTCACAATAAGCTTCAGAGAAAGGGTGTATTTGCTAATTTACCATAGCAAACATCGACTTGTGCTACGCGGCTCTCCCAAAATCCCCAAAGCCCTCGTCCCCCGAAGCCAGATTTCTTCTCCAGCCTTCATCGCACGAGAGGCGGCATCCATGGCGGCGGCGGGCCCAGCCAAGACGGAGGTGCTGTCCCTCTTCCGCGCCTTCCTCCGCACGGCGAGGCAGTTCTCCGACTACAACATCCGCGAGTACACGCGGCGCCGCGCGGCGGACGCCTTCCGCGAGAACCGCGCCCTCGCCGACGCGCCGGCCGCGGCGGCGGCCTTCGCGGACGGGAAGCAGCAGCTGGAGGTGGCCAAGAGGCAGGTGCTGGTCTACTCTCTGTACGCGCCCAAGGCCAAGAGCGTTGTGGAGATGAAGATTCAGTGAGCGACACCAGAGAGAGGTTTCACGCACTCCTTTTTCCCCTTTAGGGTCTGTGCTCTTTTATGTACTGTTAGTAGGGTTATGGCGATCTGACGCTGATAGAAATTCTGCCGTTACTATGTTTGCTGGATAATTGCCATGATACGGTGGTTGCTATTGTTCAATAAGTTCGCAAATTAATGATCATGATACTTTGTGTTTCACATGCCAATTGCACATGTAGAACTACCTGATTGTGGCTTTAGAATTATCGTATAGCCTTGCCTTGGTGTTCTTGCAGCGGTGCTAGTTTTGGCTATTACTACATCCCACTAGCATTTGTGCCCTACTCCATACTTGTCGTGCTGACCATGATCAAATGTGTGGAAGAATTATTAAGGGTGTATTGAAGTCAATCGTGTTACCCATCAACTGTTTGATGAAATGTTAAAATCATGCATCCTCGGTTACAAAGCCAAAACCAGATCAGGTTTTGCTCGACATAAGTTGTTGTGAGAAATGAAATTGACTGGCTATGCACCGAGTAGTGTTTACCAGAATGCCCTGATCCGTACAAGAAAAGGATACCAATGCAAGACACGAGTCATAATGTATACAACTTATTACTTACTAGTTCGATAACACAGACTGCATATGGCAAATAGCCAGTAATAAAACTACAAAAGAAAAATCATGGATCTATTCTTGGCTAGCTGATGACAAGCAAGCAGTGGCGAATCTAGCAGGACATTGGAGGGTAGGCTTAAAACATAGATTTCCTAAGTCTAATTAGCGAATGCATTGCAATTGTTGCATGTAAAGCACCAGAATATATTTGTCAAGTGGTATGTTTAGCTTAAATAGGATTCTGGAGGGTAGGCTTAAGCCTATTGAAACCTCCCTAGTGGAATCGCCACTGCAAGCAAGGTACTATAAAATTTAGTATCGAAAGCAGAGGCCTTCTCAATACTGTCACAATATGGTGAAGCATTGCCACATTGAGACTAAATATGAATCTTACTAAGAATGCGGAGAGCACACATTGAAGCATTCTGTATTGATTTAATGGCTGCTTCTTGCTTGCCGGTCAGGATGCCGGCTTGGGAAGCTGGCATAAGTAGCTGTGTTGGCCCTGCAGGACCAGCACCTTGCTGAGGTTAGTGGTTTCAGTGTCTAAACCATCTGTTATTCTTTTATGTACTCTGCACAAACCATCAACAGCTGGAGGAACCAGTTCATCTGGCTCATCTTTGCTGGAATCATTACCTTTAAACAGGAAAAAGGTGTCTGATACAGGAAACTTGAGTAGTAGCAATATGCATGAGCACTGAGGAGACAATACGGCATTGCAAGTATAGAACATATATTTACATCCTACATTAGTTTGGTGAAATGACCGCAATGCTTACAACTACTACTACTACTGCCCCAAGGCCAATAATTGTCGAAATGCCGCATGCTGGTAAACAAACAGAAAGGCATCCATATGGTACACCTACCACACCGGATTTGGCCTAGGCAAGAACAACTTATGTTCAGCTGGGCAGTTTTCAGAATATCAGTACTTTCCTATTTTAGCACAATTTATCCCAGATGCGTTAATTAGGGCATGTTTGGCTCATTCCTGTGCTGCACTCTGGAATGTGATACTCTTTCTGGTAATCTTTATGTTACATCTCAAGTAAATAAAATAAAACTGACGATTAAGGTCAGCATAATGCCAAACTATGTGCTTATTGTGATTGCATTACTTCAGAGTTGTAAATAATACCATTATATCTGATATAAGCTATAGAACTCTAAAATATAAATATTACAGAATGTGTTATATATGGGATCTGTACTTGCTGTTGAAGGGCGTGCAGTTGTATATTTGATTTCAAAGATATCATCATTTTCTAAAGAACCATCTAGGGTTTGATGAAAAGGTCAGGATTATGCCTTTTCGCACTATTTTAGCCCTGTTAAAACTTTGCTAAACTGGTTTCCTTTTGGCCCAAAAATCAAACGAGTCATGGAATAATCAACTTCTTGACAGGCATCTTCATCCAATACTCAAAAGACTTAAAATTGTATTTGCATCAAAGGGATTTGACTTGAGGCCTTAGACTGCAGTGAGAGCTTGGAAATATTAGTTTCCTACGGTTATCGTCACCATTGTGTTTTCCACAAATGTCATTCCACAGATAGTTTGCTCTTTTTTTAGTTTAATAAAAGGTTCTATACTTCTGTGAATAGTGGTATGAATATCAATCTATCGTATGTTGCCCTGTTGTTGTATACAATTGCGTATGCCGACAAATTGTGTATGCACATCAGCTACCGAACTGACCAAATATCAGTATTCACGCTGGTAACTGATCAGCTCTTTTGTAGCAAGAAAATTCAAAATCACCCACAAGAAAATCCAAATGCGGGCCTTGCAGGGCTTTTTCTTGCCATGATCTTTGCAGCGCACCTTCACTGGCTTCTTTCCCCTTCTATATCTTCGCCCCTGTGCATTTTTGTTGGGCCAAGTTTTTTTTTTACCAATGTTGGGCGAAGTTTGACCATCTTTGGTTTTTGTACTGATCTCGTCGAGTAAATATATTTGTTGGTTTGCTAGCAATTATACCTGGCCCACATAATGTTTACAAAATTGTCTAAAAAAATGTAATGTTACAAAAATACTTGAACAACATGACACAACATATGTTACAAAAATACTTGAACAACATGACATTAAAGATATGTTGGTATGGTGGTTACTATAAAGCAACATCATCAAATCAAGGTGATGAACGGCGGTGGCCAAGCAGCAGATAGGTGACCATGAGGTCAATGACTGTTAAGCAATGTGGTTACATTGTAGCATTGGCCACTAGGGGTTGGTCCATGAGAATTGACATTTCTTATAGATGATACTCCAGTTGACTGGACTAGTTGGATATCTACATATTGTAGTTGATAGTTTGAAATTACACGTGTGTGTATTCATGTCTATTCACAATTTGGTGGGTGCACATGTACAAATGGCATTGCCCTGCTGCCCATATCGTTACATTTCTAGCCAGATGCAGAGGAAGGTCGTCATTTCAGTTCTCATGCACACCCAAGGCGCCACCACCTTCGGTTACGCCGGCCTGTAACCTCCTCATCATCTGATCCATCAGAGTTGGTAACGATATGCACATTCTCGTCACTCTCCAGCCCGGGTGTATTTGTTCCATGTGAGCGAGGATGGTCATTGTCCGACTCTGAACTTTCATCCATGTCGTCCTGGCATGGCATTTCGCCGAGGAGCTCCTGACTGTCTGGAACATTGTTGTTGCCTTCCTTGGTTGCTTCTTGGAGCTCAAAGAAGTCCACCAAAATATCGTTGCCATCCTCCGTTGCTTCCGGGAGCTCGGAGAAGTCCACCAAGATGTTGTTCTCCGTGGCGATCTCTTTGGTCACTTTCTTCTTCAGCTCCATGCCTGCTGTGCTTCCGGACAGCTTCCATACCAACTGCAATGGCAACACAGACAACGCCTGTGAACTCCTGCCCGCAGTTTCTCCGTCCATTTTACACTGCGGATCAATGACACCCGCTAGAAAATGATCAAATGTACTAAGAGTTCTTACGATGGGGTCGACGATGCCGGTGCCCTCCTTGGCCGCGACAGCAAAGTCGCCGCCGAACTTGTCTGCGAGGATGGTACGGGCAAACAGCAGCTCCTGCAGGTCGCCGCACCACCCGGCGGCGAACATGATGCTGGCCGCCGCTTCCCTCAGCTCCTCGCCGCACTCCCTGCAGCCCAAACAGAATAGCAATGTTTGTTGTCCAACGAACATAGAGAACCAAAGATGAGAACAGGCGTGATGAGGCAGGCAGGCAACATACTGTGGCTTGTCTATCTGCTCAGCCTGCTCGATGAGGCGCTTGCAGTAGAGCTCTATGATGCCGAACGCCTCCAGCATGTTGTCCTCCTGGATAACCTGCTCCGCCTGCGCGCAGAAACACCAGCATCAGTAAGCCTGCATCCAAGGGCACCACCACGTCTTGCTTCGTGTCGTCGGTATGCACGCGGTGGAGGGCGCGGTCGAGGTGGCCGAGGACGAGGAGCTGGCTGGCATCGCTGCAGGCGATGGACTTGCGAGCAAGGCGCGGCCGGCGGGCGACGGCGATGCGGGAGACGGCGAGCCCGAGGAGGGACTTGAGCTTCGCCGTCTGCTTGGAGGTCTTCTGGAGGAATCCCATGGCCGGACGATGCTTTGCACGTTGGCCCGGCGGTGGGTGCTGGCTTTGCTATTCTGTTATGTTATATTCGGTGGATTGCTAATTGCCTAGAGCAAACGGCGTTTGGATGCTGATCTTGGTTGCGTTGCTGATCCTTTGCGTGGAGAGGAGAGGAGGGAGATGATCAGATGGGTTGCTTGTGGACTCATGCTGAAGTCCGCCTTGGAGGGACAAGAATTTGTAGGCTCTTGTGTTTTCAATCCTTGTAAGATTTAACATGCCATGACATCCAATTTATATGTCCTTCGCTGATGCTACAAATGTTTTTAAAATATTGCGGGCAAATGGGACCCTCGCTGGTTACCCTTACGAGAGTGTATTTTGCACACGCAAGAGTGAGTAGTACTTTAGTTTTGTATGGTTAACACTACTAGTAAGCTCACCAACAACTCTCCAGAGCTCTACAGCAACAACACATTCAAAAAAAAAGTGACAAGAGGACTCATGTTCAGAGCAGAATAAGCAAGTCAAATCTCTAACATTTTGTCTCTTATGAAGATTATCTGTGGTTAGCAGCTTATTTTTAGCTAGTAACCAAATAAATACTTGAATTCTGGTAGGTATTTTCAATCTCCAGACAGTAGGAA